GCCCCCACCTGCCGTATCGTGTTATCGTCCGCGTGTGCTGTAAACCCCGCGATGCCCTCTTGAGCCCGCGGTCACCGCCGTCGCCGTCGTGGCGGCGGCGGCGTGGCGACGGCGGCGGCAGCGCTGACGTCATGGCTTGGTACTCCATCGCCGACCGTCCCGAACCTGTGGCTTCAAAGGAGTACAAGTCATCGCCACCACCGCCAGCAGCGGCGGCGACGGCGGCGGTGCCGCCAGTAGCGGCGCCGCCGGCGGAGCTGTAGCTGACCTGTGCATTGCCGACGGAACCGGATCTTGGCGTGGACGAATCCGGTGTGTAACTGGGCTCCACGCCGCCGCCGCCGGCGCTTAGTGCCGCTGCCGCAGCGTGGTTGCGGATGCTGTTGTTGCTGTTATCGTTGTTGTTGTTGTTGTTCTTGTTGTTCTTGTTGTTTGCCGCAGGAGCCGCGCGCGGCAAGTCGGCGAGCAGGAACGCGCGCGGGGTGCGGGGTCGCAGGCGCCCCAACACCCCGGGAACTCCCCCGGTGGCAGATGGTACGGAGGCTGGTACGGCAGTGGCGGCGCCGGCGGTGGCGGCGAAGGGGCTGTCGGTGGCGCCAATACTGCTTGTGGCGACCGCGTCCTGCCAGGTGCAACGCGGCGGCGGCGGCAGCGGTGCCGTCGGAAGCAGGTCCCGCCGTACTTGCCTCTGCTCGACGGCTTCGCGTTGGAATGCTTGAACTGGGGCCTGTTCCTAATGACTAATAGCTCCTGCTGCTGCTGCTGCTGCTTCTGCGCTAAGGCCTGCCGTTGCAGCTCTAAGGCTAAGGAAGTCGGTCGCGGCAGCGACAGCTGAGGACGATGACGAATCTTCGCGAATGGCGGGAAGCTGGCAAAGGTGCTGCGCGTTGGTGGCCGAAAGGTCCGAAGTGACGTTGAGGTGCGCTGGAAGGACCCATGGGGCAGCAATGCGCTGTGCCTCGGACTCGTCCGCAGTCAGTGCGATCTCGAGCTGCTGCTGTTGCTAAGGAGGATCGCAGATTTGATTTGGCTTGCTGCTGGCAAAAGTTGCGGTGCTGGCATCAATATCGGGGCGAGCGGCATTG